GCATGTGGTGCTGGGGGATTGAACCGCGGTCCCTGATGCTTTTGCTAAGCTTGTTCTAAGTAGGTGCTTTAGACCACTGAGCCATCTCTCCAGCCCCTAGGAAATCTTTGTAGTTCTTTCTGCATTGCCTGTTTCAGTTCAGTAATAGTTTTAATAGTTTTATCATTCACAATTAGGACTTTTATCTCTGTAGAGTCCACCTTTGTATTTGATATAAACATCCAGTTTCTACTTCACTTATAAGTGAGCTAGTTTTTGAACATTTAATCAATTTTATTTGTTTACCAACTTTATTGTGTATTAAACACCTGCATTTGTCTTTGTGTACCCCCTTCTGTTTCATTTCTTTTTGTCATTCTCACGTAATTATTTATGACTTTGTAATGTGTCTTACTTAGTATCTGTGAAACAAGCTGCTTTTTTCCATATTTCCCTACTTAAGACACACTCATTTGGTTTTATTAGTCTTTTTTGTCATAGTCATACGTAATTCCTGTGGTTTAAGTGTGTCTTACTATTTGGCAGGAAAAGTTGCTTCTTTTCCACTACCCTACCCCCCCAAACACAATTTCAAGGTTGACATAAACAGAGCTTATCCCATATACATTTAAATTTATCATGGTTCTCAATTTTTTTTTTTTTTTTTTTTTTGAACCAGGGATTGAACTCAGGCCCTTGCACTTGCCAGACAAGTACTTATTCTACTAAGCTATCTCCCTGGCCCCTCAAATATTTTTAAAGTTCTAAAATTTTGATAGGAATTAAGCTGAATTTATAGATTAACAGAAATGTGTTTTTGATACTCTCATCCATATACTTTGTCACATTTTGTCTTACAATTTTACTGTTTTCGTAAGGTATTGGTTACATTCACTTCTGTGTAATTTAGATGTGTTGCTATGTAGTAATTCTTTAATTGCATTTTTGATTGACTTGCTGATACACTGGAGTATTTACTGATACATTTTTTAAGGAGTCAGTCTTATTGTATCCAGTAACATATTGGTTGGTTGTTTTGTCTTTGTCCACACCCCAGAGAGCTTATTTGAAAATAGTAGTAGTTTTAGTTCTAATCCTCCATATTATTATATACCACGTTTTTCTGACTTTCTGCTATTGGCCAGGACTTTCAACGTTGTGTTGAAACTTAACAATGACAGCAGATAGATGCCTTTGTCTTATTTTCAGCCATTAGAAATTGTAACAGATCTGCCCATTCAGAGCCTTTTTTTCCTCATTTTTTTGGTGCTGGGGATTAAACCCAGGCAGGATCTTTGCACACCCAGCAAATGCTCTAGCACTCGAGCTGACCTCCCATTGCCCACCCATGGTGGTAGTACCAGGGATTGAACCAAAGGAGCATCAAACTACATGCCAGGCTCTTTTATTTTGAAATAGGATCTTCCAGTTGTTCACGCTGGCTTCAAAATTTTAACAGTCCTGCCCTTAGCATCCTGAAGAATTAGAGTTATAGGTGTGAACCACTGTGTCTACCTAATTTTTTATATTAATTTAAATATTCCTGAATTTATCACTGACTTTGTTGAGTAAATAATAAGTAAGTGTTTTGGTTATGAAAGTAGCTTTGCTTTTTTGGGATAAATTTAATCATGATGTATTGCTACATTGTAGAGTACTTATTTTATTTAGAGTCCTCGGGCTGGAGAGATGGCTCAGTGGTCTAAAGCATCTACTTGAAACAAGCTTGGCAAAACACAGGGACCGCGGTTCGATCCCCCAGCACCGCATGCCAGCCAGCCCTGCCCCCTGGTGGGCTGAGCTGGCCACACACACACA